TTCCAAAAACAACCCTTTTTCTTCTCACATCTCATAAAATCAGTCAATTATTTAAGAAGCAATTTTTCAGGTGTAAAACAAACGACTTCAGCAAGGTGTACGGCTTGAACATTTTTCTCTAGTCTCCTCTGATAAAAACCGTACAATATATACGTAGCAGCTAACGGGAATCTCGCATGGAAAGGAACAATTATTTTCAAAAACAACTTGAAAAGGATGATATAAAAAAAAAGACGGCTACTAATTCGGGGAGACATCGAACCCAACCAGCGGAATTAAATGATTTTTACTTGGCGCCCTTTCTGGTCCAACATCCAATTAAAATTTAGTGGAGGGGGGGGGAGGAGATGATTCCGACATCGTTAGCAAACAAGCCCTGAGATGGTCCAACGATTTAATATTCCAAGTGATCCCAGAAGTTCTGCCTCATTTAATACACTACCAGTTCCAAGGAGCCCAATTTCATCGATACCATCAATTTGCTGCAATCGAAAGTCCTTGGCCAAGACAAAGGAAGAGAGGAATAATTTTACACGGAATTTTCTTATCCAAGCGAACATACAGTGAAATTGCAGTAGAGTACTGTACAGTACTGAAAGTGCTAAAAGGTATTTTTTGCGATTTTGAGAAGATACTTTGGCTGTAAAAAAAATAATCATATGATGGACAATTCTCAATAATTTGTTGAGTTCTCAATAATTTAAGTTGGTGTTGATTGCATTCCAAGAGAATCACAGAAAAAATATGTGAGGCGTAAGAATAAAAAATATTACAGTAGGCAGATTTTTATCCCCTGATTCAAGTTAAGCATTTCGTTACACGAATTTATATTTCATATTTATATTTATTATATAAATAATTATTTTTCAAGGTCAAAGTCACAACGTTATCTGAGTCGCGATTTAATTAATTTTTATTTTCAATTGTACAATAGGTTTACCGCGCTTCGTTACAATGGCAACGTTATAATGAGATTCAATTACAGTACTATCCGGATGGTCTTAGCAATAAAAATCATAATTGCCAATTTCCCCCTGAATGGCATTTTCTAACTTGTTATATAAGGTCAATATTTGCAAAAATGTCGCCAAGGAAGAGAAAAGTCAGTACAATTAGTTTGAATATTCAATTTTGGCCTATGAAACATAATCATGAGTGTATAAACTGTTTTGGAGCTGTTGGTCTTTTTTTTTTTACAGTTGGGTCTCAATGACTCAAACCTTGAGTTGAAGAAGCTCCTTGTGTCAATTTTTTATGCCCAGTGTGAATTCCTTCACAAAAATGTATCACAAATTTAAATAATTTAAAAACTATTCTCCTCAAACCTCCACATAACTCAAATTTCTGAAGGCCTTTGGGGTCATGTTCTGGCAGCCCTCAAAAAAAAAAACAATGAAGATGGATGTACAGTACTTTGATGTTTTTCAAAAGGAAGTTAGTGACTTATAATTCAGAAACTTTTACCCTTGCTTTCATGTTCAGCATCCCGTCAACTAATTTACAAAGCAGGTTATGGCTTTAAAAAATCACAAACTTTGACTTCCTGCAATCCCAATAATCTTTTCCAGTAAAAATCGAGTTTTCCAAACTAAAAAACTCCTCAGGTAAAGTTTCATTTGTGTTCCTCAGAGTTCAACTTGAGAAGAGATCAATACACAATGAGACCCCGAGATGTGGACATCATAATGATGCTTGGACAGTGTCCCTATTTTGGGATGTCCACAAGTTGGATCACGTTCTCCAATAGACTTCAATAGGAACTTATGTAATTGTTTCTCCAGTTCACAAAAATTAGGAATAATTCCCACATAAATTTTAAAATAATTTTTTTTTCAACATACAGATTGTTATCCTAAACTGCCTAAGGTTGATCAAATTAGAAGAAGAACGCATTGGATGTCTCCTTTGCTTTTAATCCTTCTATCTGCTTTATTGATCAGTCTCCAGAATAACCTATGTCAAGAAGTGCTAGTGTTACAGCTGGGGTTATGCAAGTGACTTCTCAATCTTGAATAAGGTGACTTTAATACAACTCCAAGTCAAACAGCATCAGGTAAAAGCCAAACAAGCAAAGATTGCCAAAAGATTATATAATTAATTGAGGACTCATTTGATTATATGATGACAAGGTACAGAATATAACTGTACAGAAAAAAATCGAAGTATCTGATCTTCTGGCATCAAAAGGATCCAAAAAGCAAAGAAAAATAAAAGTCTTGCAATGATGGAGAGTACTCCAAAAATATAAGCACAAGGTTAATTTGTTCTTCATGTATAAATTTCAGTAAATTTATGTTGATTTTTAACATATTTTTTTCTTTTTTTCAATACAGATACTGTTGTTCAATTTGTTCAAGAAATATCCAAATTTTGAAGGGATACATTTTCTGTTTTCCCAAGAATGAAGGGAAAATGTCCATGTGCTGAAACATTATTGTCCAGATGTTGGGTCTCATTTTTCCACAGTTTCAATTGTCCCAAAGTCAAATTGTCCATATGTCAGGGTACTGTATGTTGGAGTCTCCCTGCACTAAAACTTACATTTTACAAAGAAGACCTTGTGGTTTACATTGGGTTCAGTAACTGTTGTCATTGCTATAATTCTGGCTTATGCTGCAATTCTTGTTACTGATATTTTGTTTTCAATGTCAGGGAAAGAAGGGGGTGTATGCATACACATCATTTGTTCAGTTGTACATTGTTGAATGCATTTTCTTTTATTCTTTGGTATGCATATACACCTTTTTATCTCTGTTTCCCATTCTGAAGTGATTGAATGCATTTGAATGGATTTGGGTTGGGCTGGGAGGGGGTTTGGATGTAGGAATGTTGATTGACCCTTGTGAATGCTGAAAAGCAGAAAATAAAGCTTTCTGCTCATGCATTCATACATTTTATAAACACGTGAATGAATGAATGAACATAACACTTCATTTTCTGCTTTTCAGCGTTCACAAGGTTCAATCAAAATTTGAACATCCAATCCCTCTCCCCACCCAACCCAAATGCACTCAAAGACATTTAATCACTTCAGAGCAGGAGACAGAGCACAAATTGATAACAAAAATAAAAGAAAATACAATCCACAAAATAAAACTGGACATCTGACATGCATGCATACACCCATTCCTTCCCTGACATTGAAAACAAAATATCAGTAAAAATTAATTTAAAGCACAAGGTCTTCACCTTGTTTCTGTATGCGGTTTAGTTGAATGAAGAATTTAGAGTTCAAGATAAACAAGTATTCAATATAACCATTGCTTCCAATTTTCAGAATGCAGATCCTCGCAAATAAAAAGCCCTCTTTTGGGGAATTATTTCATTTCATAAAGGAAATTTATTCAAAGCCCCCGACATGTTAACTATGCAAACCAACACAGAATTTGGACCCCATGAACCGTTTTCAGCAACTTCTCATTGATTCATGAAAAGAATACATGTCCATTCCACCCCCATCATGAACATGATGAACAAAAACTGCATTTGTGATCTTGTCAAATGTGACAGGGAAAGGTTTTGAGGAGTATTTATAGGGTGCATGTAAAGTATATTTATTTTGTGTGCCTCTCTTGGGTGGTCTGTCTTGAAACCTCAAGAAAAGAAAAGAAATTTTGAAACAGCAGGCAAGAATTTAAACTGCAGCAGTACTGATTAAAATATTCTGGCAGAGCGCATGACATGAATGAATTCTGGGAAAGTCTAGTGATATCAATTCTCATGAACCTCAGCAAAAGGGCACAAGTGGGTCAATTTTTACATTTACCAAACTTGATGATACTGTGTTTCCAGACATGAAGCATTGCCAAAATCAATTTTAGCAAAGCTCATCAGCAATCCTCTTTCAGGCCTGAGGGAGTTGGCATGACTTTCTTTATTCATTTTTGGGCTTCCACCCAATCATGGAGAAAATTGCCCAATTCTTTCTGACCCACAAAAATACACCTGGACTCTTTCTAAATTGAGGACACCATAAAAATTGCAGTAAAGAATGCCAAAACATATGGGTACAGAACCCAGAATATTTGCACACTCGAAAAAGTTTTGCCTGGAATACAGTGAGCCCCCCACATGCGGACGCCTCAACATGGGGACATTTATTTTTTAACAAAAAAATTCATAAAAGAAACCCAACATGAGGACACTGACTCAACCTGGGGACATTGCAGGATAAAATTCCAAAATAAATTTTAGAAAAATTGATTTTTATGAGGCTTAGTTGCAAGAAACAGATGCTTCCAACCTAAGATCAATGCAAGAAAAATTCTTTGGTACTTTTCCCATCATTTTCCCATCCATTCAGCTAATTTAAAAAATTCCCTATAGCACAGAGGGACTTCCTTCTAGCTCTCTTTATGACATGGATGTTATTTTTCCAGATGCCAACTTTTCAATTTACTGTACAGAGGTACACTATTCAACAATTAAAAATTATACAATGTAAGTCTATGGGAAAACAAGATTTGACTTGGGGACAATCCAACATAGGGACACTCTTGATGCACCAATTATGTCTGCATCTGGGGGTCTCACTGTACTTCATGAAAGGTAATGGAAAAGTTTCTGACTTTTGTGAGAAAATTTAGTAATGAATCAATGAATCCGCGTTAGTGTATGGAATGTCTTCAAAAAATTAGATAGGTGGGCTTGAAGAAAGGCTGGTCAGAATGAATCATTAAAATGATTTATTTCAGCAGGTGAAAATTTGTCTGAAGTGTTATTAGGAGAAAAAGTCAACTTTTATTTTCCATCAGGTAATTCTCAACTGTAATTGGTCTTGCAAAAATTTCAGATAAAGATACTAATACTGTAACGTCCTTCATTGACAATTTTAATAAATTTTTTACGCTGAAAAAAATGTCCCGCTGAGCCTTTAGAAAAAAAGAAAAATTCTGTGGACCAGCGGACCAAGGGCTGTAGAACAATGCCATATAGAGTATATATGATAAACTACTGTATTCAAATAGAGGGGAGTAACACGACCATCTCCACACACGTACCACAAAATGCAGGTGTTCCTTGACGGTGAGCGAGCCAAAGAACATGTCAATCTGATGGACGTAGCCGCACACGGTGGACATGGCCTGGAGGTCGCACCGGCGCCCATTGACAATGATGTCGCCGTCCAGATACCCATCCGTCGGCACTCGGCCGGCCAACGAGTTCATCAGGCTAGTTTTGCCGGCCCCACTGGCGCCCATCACGGCCAGCAATGTGCCCGGCTTCACGTACCCACTCACTGCCAATAAAAAAACAAAATATCACATAAATATAGAATTATAAGTATGAATGCTCAACATGAAAATGAATGCATGGGGTCTGGGATAAGCAATACCTCAGCTAACAAAATTTGACCCACCATATTTTGAATTTAATTAAAAACAAAAGTAAATAAATAAATGAATGAATGGGGTGTGGTATAACCAATACCCCAGCTAACAAAATCTGACACAGCATATTTTAAATTAAATCAAAATGAAAAATACAAAAAATGAATGCATGGGGTCTGGAATGAAAAATGCCCTAGCTAACAAAATCTGATACAGCATTTTAAAAATTAAATCAAAATGAAAAATAAAAAATGAATGCATGGGATCTGGATTCAGGAATAAAAAATGTCCCAGCTAACAAAATCTGACACAGCATATTAAAAATTGAATCAAGATGAAAAATACAAAAATGAATGGATGGGGTCTGGAATAAAAAATGCCCCAGCTAACAAAATCTGACCCAGCATATTTTAAATTGAATCAAAATTAAAAGTAAAAAAATGAATGCATGGGGTCTGGAATAAAAAAATGCCCCAGCTAAAAAAATCTGACCCAGCATATTTTAAATTGCAATAAATTATATAAATGAAAAGAATGCATGGGGTCTGGGATAACACATATCCAAGCTAAAAAATCTGAACGAGCATATTTTAAATGTAATTAGAAATAAAAAAATAAAATGAATGCATGGGGTCTGAGATAACAAATAATCCAGCTAATAGAATCTAAACCAGAATACTTTAAATTGAATTAAAATGATAAATGAATGCATGGGGCCTGGGATAACAAATGCCCCAGCTAAAAAGAATCTGACTCACCATATTTTAAATTGAATTTAAAAAAATAGAATGAATGCTGATGTCTTGGATAAAAAATGCCCCACCTAAAAATTTGACCCAGCATATTTTAAATTGACTAAAAATTAATTAAAAATTAATTTATGGACTGTGAGATAACAAATACCCCAGCTAACAAACTCCTGCTTCTTGACCTCAGAGTCAAGAGTTTCTTTGATAAATTAATATATTAATGCCTCTATTAATATTTTTTCTTTTTTGGGAGGTACAAATTAATTTTGGTGACTGCTTCCTCCAATTCTTCATTTTTAAACCTAGCAATGTTCTCGTTACTCACAGATTAATTCTGTATTAAATCCATAGGATGTAAAATACACCATATCGTGTTGATTACATGTTAATCAACACCAAATGTTGATTAACATGCATTTTTTTCAGAAAAAACAGCTTTTCAAAAATGAATCTTATTCCACCTCTTTTTATTTCAATTCAACCAAGAAAACCCTATTCAACTACAACACTGAACATAAATAAATATCTTCCAAGTTTTATAGCAATACTCAAAGAGAATGCATGTTTTAATGGTCGCAAAGCAATGAAACCATCAACTGCTTATCTTCAAATCACAGCAGCAATAAAAGAACAAAATAGTACCTGTAAAGTACTAAAAAGGAAGACCACCAGGAAAGTCTCTTGACAGTTTTCCAAGGGATTCAAGTTTTTTACAGCTCACAATATCTGCATATTGAAGACACTGCGTTCATTTTTTTTCAGGTATCTGTTCATGCTTGATGCGATTTTTTCTTTTCAGGAAAAGCAGGTTGAATATAATTTTTTTTTACGAACCTGTTTTTCTTACGGAATAATATTTCGATTAGCATACGCTATAGCCATAAGTTTCAACATCGCATTGGAATGAGTTCTTTACTCTCGGCGAATCCGCGGCATCTTCAATCATTGTGAGAAGAATTGAAGGGATTGGAATGTACATCATATTTATTTTCAGATATATAATTTCAGTGAGAAAAACAAAAACATCGGTGCGTTTAAAAAATGAAGGATTACAACAAGAATTCATATACCTGTTACGTCACAAAAATTACCCAAGATCTTCAAAACAAAAAAAGCAGGGATTGCATGCAAAAAGTCAACAGCACCCGGTGTTCCCAGGCGGTCTCCCATCCGAGTACTAACCGGGCCCAACGTTGCTTAACTGCCGTGATCGAACGAGAACGGGTGTTTTCAACGTGGTATGGCCGTTGACCTACTTCTACTCATTTGGGTCTGGATTCTAAGGTATAGTACTGTATAGTACTGCAGTATACCATGCCAAAAATTCATTGTTCCGAAGTCTCAACACGAATCAGTACCAGAAGTTTTCCTTAAAATCAAGGGACTCCGAAACGAGGTATAAATTTATACCTGACTCACTCAATTTCACACAAAGCAGACAGAGAACTAAAGTGTGACCAGCAGCTGCAATACGTAAAAATCATCTGCAGCTTGGAAAATCAGAGAAAATGATGAAAATCAAAACTCGACATCACAATCATGTTCCTCTAAACTAATTGCCTGTTCAACTAAATAAATAAGACTTTCAAAATGTGCTACACATGGCTCGATTGTTGAGGTTTTTTTTTTTTCAAGATAAAAAAGGAAAAAGTCAACAGCACCCGGTGTTCCCAGGCGGTCTCCCATCCAAGTACTAACCGGGCCCAACGTTGCTTAACTGCCGTGATCGAACGAGAACGGGTGCTTTCAACGTGGTATGGCCGTTGACATACAAATGCCTTCCACAATCAGCACGTGAATCAGGTGAGCAGGGAAACTGTACTCCAAGAATCTTCTATGGACAAATTCAGGATTTTCTTTACGATGACACGTTAGACTTCTTGAATCTCGATGACGTTACGTAGGAATGTACCAAACCTAAGGACCTTTCTTTTTCATCGCATTACTGAAAATTTACAAAATTACCATTATTCATAAAACAGTAATTCATAATTTGACAGTTTCTTTCAAGAAAAGCGGATTCCTTCCAATGAATGAAAATTCGTCTTTAATTCAAAGGAAACTTCAAGATATTCGCCAACATATGAATCGCAGACAGAGAAGAAATAACAGATACCGTATATACCATTACAATGATCAAAAATGTGCGTCATATATCGCAAAATATTATTCATAAAACGATTCTGTGGTTGAAAAAAACATAATCAAACACCATAAAGGCACCTGAGATTCCCAACAAAATGAATTCTTTTTTAAGCCAAAAAAAAGAATAAAAGGTGCTATTCAGACTTAATTGTGAACTTTCTTACACCGTAAAGCAAAATTGATCAATTACTGCACCGCGGGAACGAATCACCGTTGACATCATAGTGCACAATATTGTTCCTTCAAAAGCGATAAATTTATCTTTTCTTAGAAAAAGTACAACGTATGATCAATATTATTGCTTACCATGCATACCTTTCTTCAAACATATGAACATGGAATTTTCATTTTCAATGGCTCCAAAAATTGCCAGTCAAATAAACAAATCTTCCAACGACAGATCATTAATATTGATTACAGTAAATTTTCTGCGGAATCAAATTATTGTTGCACGATTCATTTGAAAATGCATTCTTGCACCACCTAAATTTAATTTTAACGAACATCCTTGGATTTTCCATCTTTCTATATGAAGCAGGGGAGGGGTTTTTTTTTCAGGACGGATTCATGATCTATGAAAATAAATTACCTGAAACTTTCAGTCTTCCGCCTGGAAGGGTTCAATTTGGAGCAGCCGTATTTTGAAACTGTCCAATACTGCGATTTTCACAGTGACGATTTTGAATTTCAAACATCACTCCCTCCCCCCCCCCCCCTATTGTTCCTCGACATGATGATGCAAGTCAGTAGAAAATTCTTGAAACTCCGCAAACATAAAAATCTGTTCATGCAACCAGAAAATCAAAAAATGTGCTTTGCTCGCCAAAAAAAAAGCTCAATCCGTGATTTGATCCCTCTGAAATGTTCATAAGTCGCCACAACGATAAAAATTTTATATTTTATATTTTATATTTTTACACAAACTATGAAAAAAGTCAACAGCACCCGGTGTTCCCAGGCGGTCTCCCATCCAAGTACTGACCGGGCCCAACGTTGCTTAACTGCCGTGATCGAACGAGAACGGGTGCTTTCAACGTGGTATGGCCGTTGACATACTTCTACTCATTTGGGTCTGGATTCTAAGGTATAGTACTGTACAGTACTGCAGTATACCATACCAAAAATGCATTGTTCCAAAGCCTCAACACGAATCAGTACCAGAAGTTTTCCTAAAAGTCAAGGGACTTTGAAACGACGCATGAATCAATACCTGACTCACTCAATTCCACACAAAGAACTGCAGGGTGACCAGCTGCAATAAGTAAAAATCATCAGCAGTTCGGAAAATCAGAGAAAATTATGAAAATCAAAACTTGATATTACAAGCATGTTCCACTAACCAAAGTGCCTGGTTGACTGAATAAATAATATTTGAAAAATGTGATACTTGAACACATGGCTCGATTGTTCAGGTTTTTTTTCAAGATAAATAAGGAAAAAGTCAACAAAACCAGTGTTCCCAGGCGGTCTCCCATCCAAGTACTGACCGGGCGCAACGTTGCTTAACCGCCGTGATCAAATGAGAACTGCCGTTGACGAAGGTGCAAACAAAAAAAGTAGTTTCTCATTTTATGCAGCATGTATGTAAATCTTTTTGTGATTTAGAAATGGTGGTTTGGAGATGGACATCATGCATCCGATTGTCCGCCGATTTTTCACACAATATAAAACCTCGTCTAAATACTAACAATATCCATCCAATGCGGTGAGGACTGCTGATTACAGTAATATACCACTGGGTGCTGATGAATAGTAGCATAGAACAGCATGCATGTAAAAGGTCAGAAATTTTTCAGCCTTCATTTTGTTTGGGCTCGTGGGCAAATATTTTCAAGCACAATGCTGTTTTCAATTTCAATAGGCGGTATTTAACTTGAAAATTTGCAAAAACAATTTCAACAAACATGAATAACTTTTCAACCGATCGTCAAGAGAGAAAAAAATCGACCGATAAGCAAAGAAAAATACATTTTTCCTATCCCTTTGATCACTTTCAACGTTCGAGCATAAATTAA